GGACAAACTTTGAAACAGGGTGTTTGATGTAATGCTTATGTATGTCCGTGTCGTTTGGCATGTTCATGCCTTGTACAACAGGTAGAGAGGCGGCCGAAGGCTTAATAGTCTCATGTTAGTTGGGTTGGTGGCCTCTTTAGGCTTGTAAATAAAGGTTGTGTCATGTGGACACGTTCGAGAGCTTTTCGGTCTGTAATGGACCATTTTACCCTTTGTTGTGCCACTGTTCAGAGCTTGTAAAGTCTGTTTGTAATTTGCTTTGTCTATGAAGTGTTTTTCGGACATGTTTGCTTGTGGATCCCGTTTGAGGCGTTCTCTTTAACCCGTTCTCTCTTTTGTTGGTCCTAAGGGACAATGGGAGGCTTCGGGGAGGCTGACCTTTGCGGACGGACGCGCAAGGGTGCCGCACGACTTAGGCAAAACCAGCTAAGTTCGTGTCAATACGGTATTTCAATATACTATGTCGTGATATCAATTTCAGAATTGGATCCGACAAATATATCAAATTGATATACATATAGATAGGATCGAGGACCCTGATCCATTGCCCATGGAGTCCCATCATTCTTATTTATGGTAGAACCAAATATATCTATCGATTGATTATTTGATTCATTTGAATCTTAAAATTCAAATTGTTTAAAAATAATCTAACAATTCAAATTATTTCTTTGTAGATAATTTAATATTAACGGAAGAACGATCTGAAACATACCACAAAGCTACTCCTCAAAATTTGAAAAAGATATATGTTACTGTTCTTTCCTAAGTTAAATTATTTTTACTAAATTTATAATTATTTTCAACTTAAAAACCATAATCTAATCTTTTTTTATTTTTCAGGAATTTTAGAGCTATTTTTGGTAATTTTATCGTGCTATCGGCATGCCCCGATGTACTAACATATGGTACGTCAATACACCTCGGTATGTACTGTACGAATGGTTGGTCAGTACACCAATATGGATCGATATGACGACCCTTGCTTTAGACTAGAGGATACATTGAGATCCTTTTTATGCAAGATCATCAATTGCTTCTAAATATAGCTCAGTGCTAATTTCTAATCAAATAAATAGCTCAAGCCGATGATCTAAAGCATAGAAGACAGTCACACTAATACAATAACAACAACAAAGTCGTAAGTCTTAACTATTTGGGATCAGTTAAATAGATCTTTTGTCACCATTGAGATCCGTAAAAAATCATATGTTTAGTTAAATTTAAAATATTTAGATATTTATTTATAGTTTCAATTAAAGTCTTTTTAGTTCTTCCTCTATCTCTCTCGATACCATTAACATTAATCATTTCAACTCTTCTAACTATCGTCTTTGTATGTCTCTTAAGCGCATGTCAATATCATCTTAAATGATTTTATCTCATATTATTCTCTATCGAAACGATACCTAGTTGTCCACGAATAAAGAGAGGTGAACTAATGCACAAGACTTCTCCCAATGCATGATACTAATGGATTTTACACAAACTAAACCTAATTAGCTTCTATTGATATAATTTCCTATAGTCCTATCCAATTATTTACTTCTCATATTTTAGTTGATTAGCTTGTTATTCTTCCAAATACACATACTGTCCTTTTCCTAGGTGTGACTTTAGAACAAGCAAAAATCGCATTGGTGAACAATGCAGACCTTAGAAACACTAGAAAAGTTGGATATGCTAAAAGTACACTGGACCTAATGCGATAAGTAATATTTTAGTAAAGAGCTAGCTAAAATATTACCAATATTTCTCCATGCATCAGAAGTTATTTTGAGGCAACTTTGTGTCAAATAACAAGCATCATCCCATGAGTATGGTAGTTTCTTGATCTGATATCTCCAAAACCAACAGGATCGCCAAATCAACAACTGAAAATTATTCAGAAAAAAATCTCATATTCATGGTAATCAGGTTCCACAAGAATATATTGAAAAGCGAAGAAGTAATGAAGTTAAAGAAGTTCAAAAAAAACATTTATGTGTATGTACTTTCCAAAATAGACCTACAAACCTTGCCTAATGTGTAAGGCAGAAGTACAAATTGGACACCGATGAGATTCCATAACGAAGGTTTCTCAGCTCCCTGAATATGCAATTCAAGTTCATTGCTAAGCTTCTCTTCCACCGTCCTGGCATGATTGAATTACAAAGTTAAAATTGTAGTTAGTGGTAAAATAAAAAGATTAACATACTCATACACGTATATATGTAGAAGCCATGGAAAGGAAGGAATAGATTAGAAACTAAAAGAAACACTGAATAGAAAGAAGAAAAAGGCCACTCAACTTAAAGAAACACCATTTTTATCAGACAATTATTATATCTTATGATAGATTCAAGACAAGACATATTTAAGTATATAGACTGCCAGCATTTTACTCAAAGAAATAATTCTCGTGGAAAGGAAAAACAAACAAACCTATAGTGTAGGATCCCGTTGGATCTTTACTTAATGCATCATTAGATCTCCTATTTTAATTTAGTTGCTCTCCAAGATTCTAGATATAATGAACCTAAACACATTCTCAGAGTAAAACATTTTTCTAACGAGATTTATGGTAACTTGAAAGGCTTCTTACCAAGATAAGATAGAATTCGATCTAACACAGCCAATAATATAGACAACATTTACAAAAAAAAACTTCTGAACTAACCAACTTGACAGAAAAATACAGAACTGATTCGATAAAATCTCTCTCTCTAGACATACACTGATCCTTCTCTCTCATCCTTCTTACTGCCATTCTCCCCGTCATCTCTCTCAAATTTTCGTTTTTAGTTACACTAAGCAATAACCAGACATCTTTCTTTATTCAATCATGCATCCAAAGTTAGTTGTTGACAATATGCTCTATCTTCATAACCCCAAGGCAGCGATACACCAAATTCTAGTGAACAAAATTCCTAGTTCTGATTGAAAAATCCTAATAAGGTTATAAATTTCAAAGCTTTTGTAGTAAAATCCACTTTCAGATCATCATATGTGCTATTATATCGATGCAATCTAAACATGGACCAGGCTCCTATCCTTAATACCAAAAGGCACAACCTTAGCTAATGATCACCTAACATTAGATGATATTATACCAAAACATGTGTATTCTTGACTGGTATTTCTAAAGTGAGAACAGATTAAATTTGTACAATCCAATTTCTTATATAATGGACAGTTCAAATCTAGTTATAGTAATAGAGAAAAAGAAGACCATGCATAGTGATTCAAACCAAAGCCTTTGCTTGGAAAAGACCTTGTAAGCAAGCACTTGATTAAGTGCTTTAGGGCAATGACAATGGCCATTTGTGTGATTAATATGTTGATGTAATAGATTGAGAGCTAAAGGTACATTGTTCAAATTCAAAACTAAGTTCAATTTGTAATGCTAATGCAGCTGCCTAACTAATGAAGAATGTCGAAAAATTATTGCCAAAATAAGTCAAACGAGAAAATAGTAATAAGAGAACATTTTGATCACGCTTCCACTTAAAAAAGAAAAGGGACCATATAGAAGTTTTAACTATCTAAGTTCAATTTGTAATGCTAATGCAGCTGCCTAACTAATGAAGAATGTCGAAAAATTATTGCCAAAATAAGTCAAACGAGAAAATAGTAATAAGAGAATATTTTGATCACGCTTCCACTTAAAAAAGAAAAGGGACCGTATAGAAGTTTTAACTATCTTGCACAACATTTTGCTATCTACCATAGGATGTAGCAACAACAAAGACATTTTCTCTATAATTTTCTTATCAATGCTAGGTTTTAGTGAAAATTTAGTGTGCACAAAATCACAAGTTGTAGACAATATAAATCTCATGATCCTGCCAGCAAAATATAATGCAGGTTACAGGAGTGCATATTAGAATTCCTGTTTTCTATTGGAGACAGAAGCCATAACCTGATATCTAAAACAAATTAAAAGGACTTTATTTTGGAAACAGTAATGATAAGATGTAATAGTTGCAAACCTACATCAAAGAAGTCCATCCAAACTACCTTACAATTAATAGCATTATCTTAACTGTAAGAACAGAGAAAACCTTGATAAATATACTCTTACTTATCAATTTGTTTTAGACCCTTCTTCTTATTTGTTACACCTCCAGATCGCTCAAGTTCAAGTGCCTTCAACCTATTTTTGTAAGCTGGTGTTTTCTTGACCATTGTAACTGCCTGCATTAACATTAAGGACAATGATTATCCAGAAAGCACACAGTAAACAATTGATACAGAGCCAACATTAACTAGTATAAGTGAAAATTGGTGACTATTTCCTCTTTGTCTTTCAACATGGAGGAACTCCAAAATAAAGGACACAAACAAATGTTTATTGAGCACAAGTACTTCTACTGAGCACCATCAGGTTCGCTTGATTAATGAAATATCTCTCCAAGAGCTTAAACACATAAGTCAACATTGCAAGACAGCACATCATGGTTTAACATGATGGTGCCCCGCTTCAATATCAGATTGATGCATGTATGGTAGGACCCTGATTATATTCTGAAGGTAATGAAGGGACCACATGAAGACTGGTAAAAAGATAGTGGCCAGATGACAAGAGAATCTTTTTGCAAAACACAGGATAACTATAGTTACTAAACCATAAAAGAGTGAAAGGCAAGGGGCAAAAACTATGGTAAAAATACAGCAGTCAAAAAACTCAACATTTTTAATAGTAAGAAGTCACATCTTTCTCAGACAGGTAGCCATTTGAGGCATCTTCTTTAGGTCATGGTATGCAATTTCGAATAGTACCGCCCGGTACGAGCGGTACATACCGGTTCGACGGCATATCGGTACGCGGACCGCCCGCTACCGGACGGGCAGTGCTACAGCATTATACTGTAGCATTGCTACAGTGCTACAGTGAAAGAAAATCGCTCGATAAGCCCTGGTGTACCGTTCGGTATGCCCTGGTGTACTGCTCGGCATGCCGGTACCGTACCGTACCGAGCCAACCTCGAAACACTGGTATGGTACGATAACAATTTTACTACTAAAATAATATAAGGATTTTATCTTATATTATATCTGCTCAACCTTACCTAACTTCTTAAAAAATAAGGGCTCTACAAACTTTCACTCCTAGGTTGGCATGCATCAGGATATTTCCATCATTTAAACACAGGAGAAAGAACATTGATATCCAAGCGGAGTAACAGATACATGTCATCTTGATGCATGTTTTTCTTGATTTACAATCACAGTACAAGGCACAATGTAATAAGATAGTATTATAGTTTATACTTTGAACAATAGCAGGAAAAAAAATATTATCAATTGTGCACGAAATAAAGAGAATAAACTATAAAAGTAAGTGGCCCGAGCAAAAAGGAGCAGGATGGTTAGCAACTGGGCATATTGCTTGCATCTTTCTCATGAAGAGCTACAAAATCCTCACGATACCTGTGTATACCTGGTCCATTGATTTAGATATTGCAAAGCTGAAACAACCAGAAGAAGACCCACCAAGACTGCTCGAGGATCCTATCATTTATTGAAAATGTAGAATGATTGATAACCTGACTCCACTATCAGATCATTGTAAAAGAAATATCAAGTTGACAAAATATTGAATAAGTTTGGGCGAATTTGAAATATCCTTACTGTTTTATGACCATAATATGCATGGTAGTACCGAGCAGTATTATAGAAGACCTGTATAGAAAAGAATACTTAGTAATGCATGCAAATTAAAAGAAAAGATAGCAAAAATATTGCCAGCGTTGTAAGTGTTAAATCAAATAAGTTGCACATATATGTTTAAACTTCAACAATGGGACCTGCATCAGCTTAAAATAAACATGTATAGTGTCTCATCAATCAACCCCACAAAGCCATTTATCAAAAGAACAGAAAGAGAAAAACAATACATTTGTGCAAGAACCTCCTCACTAAAACGAAAAATGAAGGAAAGCAAGACAAGAACTTCCCAAACATCATCACCTTTACTTCACATCTGATACATGTCCAGTTTATTCCTATATCAAAATAAATGTAACTATATATACCAAGGTCCGCAATACTGTACCGTACCGGAGTTTCGACCTGGGCTCGGTATCGGTACGGTACGGTATACTGAGCGGTACACCCAGGTGTACCGCTCGGTATATTTAGGCGTGCCGAGCACTGTAACACTGTAGCAGTGCTACAGTGCTACAGTGTCGGAACGGTAACAGATGGTCCGCGTACCGGAAGCCTGTCGGACCGGTACATACCGCCCGTACCGGGCGGTACGGTCCGGTACTGCAGACCATGATATATACAATGCAACTATATTATACAGAAACTTATATCTTGATCATTGTCTTAGAGTCCATGAACCATGCATGTCAAGGGTTTGGCTATTTCTATGCTTAATCCAACTTATTTCAATTACAACTTAATTCCAATTTTGACAATCAATTGCCTCCAAAAAATTAAATCTTACAAGTTTCTGAAAGGGTGACTACCATAGACATAAACCGTATCAGATGGTATTGCAAACCTTGAACATTAGGACTAGTAATTGTCAATTCTCAAGGTAGTCAAACTAATATGGAACCAACAGAGATGGGTCTACCAATTTCAAAAGGAACTAAGGACCAAGCAATGAATTAAACAATTACCTAATGCCCGCATTTGAGGAACATGAAAAAAGGGAAATAATTCAAGCATTGTTACAAAATAAAATACCAGGTGAGAAAAAAATTATATGATAATTGAAAGAATTCAATTCTAACATGTTATTTGACAAACGAAACAAAGAAAGCCTCCAACAGCTTTGGAATATGCAACATGAGACGCTAAGACTAGAAAGGTTTACTTTCATTTCTGAACTTCAAAGAAGTCATCAAGATTAAACTTCGAAGGCAAAGTATAACATTCAACATTTTCATATACCAGTTGGACTGATATGTACAACCAGTATATACCAATCCGACCAAGGATATGTACAGGAGCATATGGCTAGGCATCCATCAATTTCAATTTTTATTTTGATTTTCAATGATACAGGGCATGGTTGATATATCATTTCGTATACATACCAATATCATATTGGCTGGACAAGATGTTGAAACTGGTACCAAATCGAGATTTTAAACCTTAAATCAAATATTGATAGAAGAAAAACAAATTCTATGCAGAAATTAATCATTATGTGTTACATGGTACCTAGATGATATAGTCACGATTCACGTGTTGGTGACTAAGGAAGAAAACAACAAATAAGATTCTTGTACAGGATTATCCTTTTGTCTTCATGTCATAGAATAGAGAAGACAAAACTAAATTACCGCTTTGGCATTTCATCTTTCTATAGAATATAAAAACCTTTTCATAAAAGCAAAAGAGATGTGCCTAGTCCCCAACTCTTAAGCACCTTGTAAGGTATTTCACCATTTTTTATGCATATATAATATCAAATTGTTGATAATAGATTTGTTTATATGGATTTAACAATATCATTAAACATAGAATGGTCATGTAACATTATGGGTCATCATGTAACAGAAATGCATTCAGATATTGAAGGAAACAATTCAAAAGAAAGGATCACAAAAGAGAACAAAGTTGACAACTCATCAATTAGCAAGGTGTGGGAGATAAAATATCAAATGAGGAACAGGGTAATTATAATGTTCTCTTCACTCTCAAATCTAACAATAACAAAATCATCAACCTGAACTAACCATAAAACATATTAGTCTCTAAGATTGTGCCACATAATTACCACAAAAGGGACTAACTAACAATTAAAAGATACATAATAAAGGGCTAGCCATTAACATGATCATGCGACAGCATCTCCTAAGAGAGGTTCCAGTATTAAAAAAGGAAAGAAAATTTCAAGACAATGTTACATAGATCCCATACAATCTAACAACAGTAAAACATTTGTCATTCAAATATCTGATTAACAAACTTATCAAAACATTTCCGTCAAAATATGGGACTAGATAAAAAATACAAGTCAAGATTGAGAAACAAGTTTAGAGAGAGAGAGAGAGAGAGAGAGAGAGAGAATAAATATAAAAGGAAACCCAATTCTAACTTGGAGAAACCTATCTGAATATAAACTAAAACTTTTAAAAAATGTCATTGTCCGGGAGTGTTTCATTTTTGTATTATCTTGTATGCGCAAAAGAAAAATGAACAAATAAACAGCATGAAAAAAGAATGAATAAATAAACAGCAGGAAAGAATATGTAACAATGATACTAACATCACTAAGATAAAAGAAAAGTAACTGGTACAAGTAATCAATATTACCTCTTCAGGATGTGCAATTGCATAATCATATTGCTCCCTTGTAGCTTCATCTTTTAAAATCTGGAATAGTATATGAATTATATATCAACAAATTTAGCATTTGTAGATCAATAAAAGAACTTGAAATTCTTGTGCAACTTTGTAAGTGCCAGCTATTGATTACAACAACTCAAGACTAGAAGAAAAGCATCTCGCTTCACAAACCATAGCTAGCGAAAATGTATTTGTGAAACAATTTGATCCATTTAGCAAAACGAAAAAATTATGCAGGAATTAAAAAAAAAACATTCATCAAACATTATGTATAAAAAATCAGTCATGATCTTTTGGGACATTGACCAGAACAGAACCAACTAAAAGCTGAAACTCAGCTCACCTGATGTCCAACCAATCTCGGCAGTCTATTAAGTTCCGGCCTACACTATTGAGTTCTACTTATTCTTCAGTGATCTCAAAATTTTTCATATCGGACATGGAAAGTTCAAGGGGAAAAAAGGAGAAAAGAATTAAAGAAACTGATCCATATAATCCTCATGATTTGATCTGGTAGGAATTCAAATCCTAGAATCAACTCTAGTTTCAAAAGGATTAAAATTGGTTTCTCAAACCTAGAAAGTCAAAAGTTGTAAAACTATTTGAAGGTCACTTTACAGTACAATCATTTCTTAGTTTAGCTTACAGACACTAACACACTTGTAAATTTAGTAAATTAAATTTTCCTTCTTAGAATAGTGCATCTATGATACTAAAGCATAAGCTAAACAAGCCGCATTTTGGTCATTAACTTCACCAGTAAACTATAATTTGCAATGCTTTTACATTCAGTATTTATCTTAATAAAAAATCTACCGATTGAAGGGAAAATGAACTTTAAGAAAACCAGATATGTGCTGTACGACATACCACACAAGTGGAATATTCAGGTGGCTAAATATACTATTAAATACCAACTGGAACTATAAGGGAAAAAGCAGGGAGAAAGATATAGACCTTAGCGAAGGTTTCCTTTAGCAACCAATGGGATGAGCACCATGGCATAAAGAAATGTTGGCCATCTAAACCAAAACAATACAAGATGTATACCCATCCACCGCGCAGAGAAAACTTTGCTAGATGAAGCAGGATGTTTATGAGTCCATTTTCTTTTTGGATTTCTAGTCGTAAGAAATTCGAGCAAGAACCATATCAATAACCCTCGCTAAAGAACACTGCCTAGCTAGTTTTTTTTTTTATTCTGGACATGAAAAATCAAAATAGATCGTCTAAATTCAAACATAAACTTCGTACCAAGGAACAAGAACGAGAGTGATTCCCAATGACGGAAAGATCAGTGGTATCTCACCTCATACGCATTCGCAATTTTCACGAAAAGCTTTCTTGACTCGGGGTCAGGGTTCTTATCAGGATGACTGAAAAATACAATGACAGAGGCATCTATCAGCGAACGGAGTTATCACAAAGAAATCAACAGATGTGAGTTATAAAGTGAACTCAATTCGTCACCGTACTATTTAAGGGAGAGCTTGTAGTAAGCTTTCTTGATCTCCGACGCGTTGGAGCTCTGAGAAACCCTAGCGAACGAAAGAGAGGAGGAGATCAAAAGAGGGATCTAAGGAAATGAAGAGAAAAGGGGAAGGGTATTCGTTCATTCACCCGAGGAGATCGTAGCAGTCGTCCTCATCGCAGTAGATAGAACGGCAAATTGGGAGTTGGAGGAGGAGAAGGCAACAGAAGAAAAGGAAAGGGGGAGAGGAGAGACAACGGAGTACCGGAGAAACCATCATCAAACCCCCTCTCCGGAGATGCGAGGTGGAACGAGGTGGAGGTGTAGGACGAGGCTCTCCCGCACCGATCAGGTAGCAACCGGGACCGGATCGTCGTCCGCTGCGGGTATTGTCAACTTTAGGTTGACCGCAGTTACATTCGTATGCAATTAAAAATCCGAAAAATATATTCATAGTTTTAAGATATATGGCGAATTTTCGAAAAATATTTTTTAATATATTAAAAATATTTTTATTCATCAAAATAGTACGATAAGACTGTTAGAGAATTAATATTTATATTGTCTGGACCGATCGATAGAGTGACTTGATATAAGATTTGTATTGTCAGTAATGATGTCTTTGAACGGACTTAAATAATATTTTTTATATCTTCATAAAAATATCATAAAATGATTTAAAAATAAAATAAATTAACTCAAAATTTAATAAAAATAATTTATATAAAAAATATGATATTATCATTTTTAGTTTGGGAATAAGTACAGTTAGGATCAAGAACGACACTAAGAGGGGGGTGAATTAGTACAGTGTAAAATTCTTCGATTCTCGTATAAAATATTTCGTACATTCGATGAAAATCGAATCGGAAGGATAGCAACTTGAAACGTATAAGAGCGTAAGCAAGACGAGGAGGAGAAGTAGTTTGTAATGAAATGAATTGCAGTTTAAGTAAATTGCACTAATGAAAAGTAAACCAGAATTTAGAGTGGTTCGGTCAATGTGACCTATATCCACTTTCAGATTCTTCCTCCGATGAGGTCTCTGGCATCCACTAAAGGCCTTCCTTTAAGTGAAGACCGAACACCTCTTTACAGCACATTCTCCTTTTCTCGGGTTTAGGAGATGAACCCTTACAAGTCTCACTCCTCTTTCTTGGATGGTTACAATGCTAAGAGATGAAAGGAGGAGAACTCTAACTTTTACAACACTTTAAGACTCAAGAACTCAAGATTATGCTAATAGGTTTCATGCCCTTTCATGCAAAAAAGGGTGACGTTTTTATAAGCCTCAATGGCTTCAAAAATGGAGCCAAAAAGTATCTAATCCCGGATTTCCGGGGACACCTGACACTGGGTGGTACCACTGCCTAACAGAGCTCGGAGATCGAGCTCTGGCGGTACCACCGCCTGACAGGGGCGGTACCACCGCTGGCAACAATAATTGTCGGCAATACCACCGCCCAGATTTCCTAGGGCACTGCTTTCCAGGAGGTGCCACCGTCGGCCAATAATTTAGGGGCTGAATTGGGTGCTCAATTCAGCCCAATTCAGTCATGTTAAGGGCCCAATTGGCCCCTAATTAAGTTAGTGGGATTACCTCAAAATCCTAACTTAATTTATACTCTAACTACGACAATTAAGAAATGTTTACTGTACTTCTTGTTCCGATGCGTCAATTGCTCTTCCGGCGTACTCTCGGCAAGCTCCTGGACTTTGTGACGATCTTCTTGACGAATTCCAACAAGCTTCTATGGCAAGCTCCTGGACTTCTCAGTTAGTTCTTGTAGAGCTTTCGACGAACGTCCGGACTTCCGTTGATCTCTCGAAGTCCCAATGAGATCTTGATCATGACTCCGGCATAACACTTGCTTTATATCTTACTGTCATCGTAGTTAATCATGCACACTTTTTTCGACATATAGATTAGATCAAACAAATAACAATTGACTTCATTATCAAAATCTGAGATTCAATAATAACAATAAGTATAAAGATCTTATATAATTTTTAAATAAACTATTAATATTTTAGTACTATAACTAAGAAATTATATTCATTATCTTAAAATGGAGGGTCACTGCTGACTTATCAAGATATTTTCATGAAATATGATAAATCGATTATATGGATCTTTTCAAAATAGTGTCCTGAGGAGCAAAATGCTCTCACTAACAGCCACCGATTAATGTTAGGTTTTTTTTTTGTAAAAAATCAATTAATCTAGATCAGTTCATTTGTCAGATCAGTTCAGTACTCATCTAAATCCAACTGTCTGAAAATTATCAAGAACAATATAAGCCCAACTGAAAATAGTGACAGATTAAAAGAAAGAACCAAATGCAAGATGAAAACCAGAGAAGGGAACGACAGAGGAGCTGTTAGAGAAAGAATCAGATAATGTTATGAGAAAGCATTCGATTTTTCTTTTAAAAACATCCTAAAAATAAGAAAACAACTTCACTTAATGATATTACGGTTAATATAAATAAAAAAACCACGGTTCCGTCAATGATTTTTTTGTTATTTGTTTGGAATTTAATAATTTCATCTTTCCAAGTATCATTGAATAGAGTGATAGAAGTTTGCTTTTTCCGCTTTGTAGTTTCGTCACTCCAATTGTTATTAGTAGGTGTGACTATGAAAAATATCATTAATATCTTAATTAGTTGATCAATTTGATATAGTCAAAATTTAAATATAAGGTATTTTTAATGTGAAAACATTTAAGTATCATCTACATGAAGATTAAGATAAAAAAAAAAATTTATCTGATTCTTATAACGTTTAAATTAATAATTCAACTTCTTTCAGTAGAGTGATAAAAAAAGATAAGTCCTTCGCTTCTTGTATTAGGGATGTGTTTTTATACATGATCATAAAGAATGAAATATTTTAAGATGATAAAATATTTTATAAAATATTTCACGAGGATAAAATATTTTATAAAATATTCGAGTGAAAGGTAACCTAAATTTCACGTAACGTACAAGTTGAATGATGATTAACTGATACTGTATTTTCTATCACTTTCTTTTCAGATATACCATATATACTGAACTAAGAGAGTAAAAATAATCTCAATCCGATTCCATATCGAGATAGCGACCTTTATGAGATTGGAACAATAAAAGAGAAGAATTAATCATAAAACGAGGAAGAGCAGCGGTCAAAAGAGGACCTACCTCAAGTGGTGAGAGGGATTCTTCATTAGTTTTATTTTTCTAGTTTTTATGCTCACATATGCATGCAAAGTGGACCTTACATAAATAAAATTAAAACTAAAATAACCTTATAATCATATTACATAAAGTGTCAAGTAACATAACCTTAAAAATAAATGATATTATTAAAACTAATATATATATATTAATTACCTCATAATCATATTTATCCTTTGAAGTAATGTTTTAAATTTATTATTAAATACACGAGAATAATTAAAATTTAATACGAAAAAAATAAAAATTAGAACTCAAATTAAAGTTCATACCGTGTATTTCATCCTATAACCAATCTTAAAATTTTGATGAAATATTCAATTTATTTTCGAAATAGATTAAAAAATAAATAAAGATTGATTTAGTGATTAATATTAGAATGTTGAAATTATGTATATTTTTATTTATATTATTATTATTATAAATATATATTATATATAAAAATAATAATAATATAAAAGAACGAAAACACGGCGACAAGATGACGTGTTCCACCCAATTAGAGGCGGATCCTTACGATGCTGAGCATAATTGACACGTTCACCGCTTTAGAACTGGACGGTTGTGATATAAGCGTTGGACGGTCACGATCGGCAAAAACCACACTGTGTACTTGGGAATGCCACATGCCCCTGAGGCGGCGGTAGCTTACTGACGTTGAATCCCGCGTCGCGACCAATAGAAATCGGCGAAACAGCAAATCACAACTGGCATTTATATAAGAGGAACGGCGACGGCAGTATAAACCAAGCGGGTCGGAGCTTCGCACGGCGTGAACCGACTTTTCCGGAAGACGCCTCCGAACCCGTTTCTTCTTCTCTTTTTGCGTTCGAGTTCTCTCGACTTCGCGACCATCCCGATCCCGATTCCGTTCTTCCCTCGTTCCTTGTCGTGATTCCCGTGATGGGCAAGGGCCTGCTGCTGCTCCCCTTCCTCTTCTCGCTGCTGGCAGCGGCGGCTGCTGCTGCTGCGGAGGCTAGGGCGAATAAGTCGTCGTCCCTCGAAGGCCTCTTCTGGGCTACCGGCAAGGACGAGAGCGAACTTCTGGCTATGGTGGAGTCCAAGGAGGAACCATCTGCGCGGGAGGACGAGATCGATGGGTTCGCCGGAGGCTTCTCCTCCTTGGACGGCATGTTGCAGTGGGCCATCGGTAAAGCTGCCACTTCCATCTTTATTATTATTATTTAAATTTGAATCTGGTTAGGTTCGTTCGTTCTTGTTTGTTCAGATTACGAGCCCGTGATGCTTGATGATTTACTCTCCTTGACATAGTTCTTATTTTTTGAGCCCTCACTTGGAAAAACACACGATTAGGTCTTTTTAAGCTTTCAAGCCTTCTTTTATCTATTTCAGAATAGAAACGAGAAAAAGTCATTCATCTTTGAGTTAATTGTAAAGTGAAATAAAAATTTCAACATGGAATGTTGAAAGTAATAAATAGAAATTAGGAGACAAGTACAAGAAGGTAAGACAAGGCTAGGCTAATCCTATGTGAACAATAGACAACTTTGTTTTATATACGCCTATAAGGAGACCTATGATTTCATAGTAATAAAAGGTTTGAGAGCACTCATAGGGTCACAGATTGGAAGATTTTAATATTTTTCTTTTTCCAAACACACAAGGAGATGATAACAGCACCAGATTTTAGCCTCTTCTTTGTTCTATGGTTCATAAGTTGTTCGGGCCTCTTTTTGTTGATTGTAACTTTGAAGTGAAAACTCACAAATGGGGGGATAAGGGAGCAGGAAAGAAGCAGATGGTCAAGATCTACATGTTAGAGTATAAATACAGTTGGTGTTTTTGGCTACTCTTGTCAATAAGAATCTTCTTTATGAAATGTAATTTAGGTTTGAAGACATAAATATCTTAATTTTCATTAGGCAGGGAATTTCCGTATGGTGGGAGTGGAAGGATATTGGAACGTACAATGTTCCAAAAATTGTAGGAAGTAATGCTAAGATCCTATTGGGCTGCATGCTTAACATTTTTTGTCACTGGGGAAGTATTGGGGTGAAGCAGTTGTTAAGTTTGCATGATATAATTTATGACCAAGGATTCTACTAATACCATCTCTTTGTTAGGAGCCTTTGGTGTTACTGACACACATTCTAGAACTTGGTGGTTGTGGTCTTATGTTTTGATGTGAAGTTGTGGAGTCTAGGAAGCTAGTCCATTAGTTG